TCTGGACTTCTGATTCAGTAAATTGTTCATAGTTTTGCTCTCACATGAGTCTTCCTGGCCAAAATCAGTCCTTTTCCAGTAAAAATCTTTGAGATCCTTACCTCTAAAGGCATGATCAGGACCCTGGGGGTTTACAAAGATAATCACCACGGAGAAACATCCCTCGGGGGTGAGGGACAGGGGTCCCAGAGCTTCATTTTTCGTCCTGCGATGAGGCTGATGCTCAGGAATCCCAGGGGGAGTCTCTGTCCCCAGGGCAGCTCAGTCCCCCATCACCTCTGGGTTCCAGTCAGGGCCTGAGGCTGATCGGTACCTTGATTCTGGGACCCCAGCCTCAGTGCTGCTCCCATGGGGCTCAAGACCCATGGGGGACATGAGACACACCCTCCCTGTGCTCTCAGCCCCGGGCTGTCCCTCCCTTAGGCACCCCGTTGACACCTCCAGCCAGGCTGCACTCTGATGGAAAGTCTTCTGTCCCAACCCAGGGCCACGGGGCCCGTTACCTCAGGGACACCTTCCCCCTTATCTCCACCTTGTCACCACTCACATGTGGGACCTTTGACAGAAACTTCTGGGTCCAGTTGACCTTGGGTAGTAGTCATGGGTGGCTGAATGAATAAAGGTTCCATCCCGAACATGCTGGACACAGTGCAGGGACTAGAGCTGTTCTCACCCCAGAGAGTGGTCTGACCCCAAATTCCTCCGTCCTGGAAGCTCTGTCTGTGTTTCGTAATTTTGTCAGCGGGATGGTTCTGAGTTCATAGGAACAGGCCCCTGAGGGGTTTCACTGGGCACCACGTTGACCTTTCCTACCTGGGAGACCAGACACATGGGACAAATAAGTGATTTTAGAAAAGAATATAAACCCGTATTCTCCTGAGAACAGAAGGCATATCTGTTCCACTCTTTTCCATCCATGTGTTTAACCACTCTTTCCACCCAGATGCTCTCCGCACTAAGCACAGATCTGAGGAAAGTACACTCCTGATTGTACTGGTATCTTCAGACGGACATTGTCATTGAGTTTAAATCAATCTTACTGAATAGAATTACATATAAAATAACACACGTTCATCGTAAGTACGAGGTTGGCTCCGTGGTGACTGACACATAAACTCTCACTAGGTCCCTGTCAGAGCATCTACAGCTGTCACTCCTTTCTTCCTAGAACTTCCAGCATGTTTGTCCTTTGTCCTCTGAGGTCAGGGCCACACACACTCTCGTGGTAGGGCTCCTGCAGACTCGTGTCTCTGCTGGGAGGACAGAGCTGAGGAGGGAATCCCTGCCCAATGTGTGGACAACTCTTGCTTCTAGCAGTGGGAAACAGTGACAGGTGACAAAGATGCTCCATGTGTAACCCTCTAGGAATGTACATGGCGGCTTCTACCCACAAACTGGGGAGAAGAGCTCCCCATGTCCTCAGTGCTGTGGGGGCCCCAGAAAAAGGAAAGCTCTGGAAATCAGGGAGAAGGCACATACGAGGAACGTACCAGCATCCTGCACGGAAGTGAACCTTTGTCCATGGGGACCTGTCACTACTCTGGACTGAGTCCTGATCTCGAATATTTTGTGTAGAGACACCACCTCAGTCCTGATGCAGGAGCAGAGAACGGAGCCATGTACAGACTCATTCTGAAGACTCTTATTAGGACATAGAGTGATTCTTGACATAGTGGGAGGTGACATATAGGGACACCTGGTCAAGCCCTAAGGCAGGGAACAGTGGTCAAAAGAGTTGAGGGGTCTGTGGACATGTGTGTGATTGGCTGGTCACCATGTCACACTATGATGTGTCTGGGTCTGGACACCAGGGGGCACTCTGGTTCCATTTCTGAGGAGTCAGGGGCGATCAGAGCTGGGCCCTGCCACCTGGCCTTGCCTGTGCCCTCTGCTCAGGGCTCACAGCTGGGACCTCCCCACGCCTGGCCCCACACGGCCCCTCCCCTGCCCAACCCCCTGACATGCTGAAGCAGAGGACCTGACCCCGGACCAGGGAGGGGTCAGAGAGCTGGGGTCTCATTTGCATGGCCAGGCCCTCCCTCTCTCAGAAGATGAAGAGGGGAAGGGAGAGATGAGGGGAGGCTCTGCACAGCTGTGGGGCCACAGAAGGCGGGATCGGAGATGACCTCCACCATGGCCTGGTCCCCGCTCCTCCTCAGCCTCCTCGCTCACTGCACAGGTGACTGGATGCAGGGACCGGGGAAGGGGCCCTGGGAGGACGTGTGGGGCCCTGTTTCTCCTCTTGTCTCTAGACTCCAGCATCACCCTCTGTGTTTTTTCCCCCTTGCAGGGTCCTGGGCCCAGTCTGTGCTGACTCAGCCGCCCTCCGTGTCTGGGGCCCTGGGCCAGACGGTCACCATCTCCTGCACTGGAAGCAGTTCCAACATCGGGGGTGGTTATGTGAGCTGGCACCAACAGCTCCCAGGAAAAGCCCCTAAAACTGTTATCTATTGGGATGATAGCAGACCCTCGGGGGTCCCGGATCGATTCTCTGGCTCCAAGTCTGGCAGCTCAGCCACCCTGACCATCACTGGGCTCCAGGCTGAGGACGAGGCTGAGTATTACTGTGCATCGTCGGACAGCAGTTACTCTGCTCACACAGTGCTCCCGGCCTGTGGGGAAGTGAGACAAAAACCTGCTGTCCGGCAGCAACGGGTCTCCCTGTGCAGCTCCCCCTCCTTGGCCAAGTCAGCTCCTTCCTTTGTTTGGTCTAAACTGTAGTTTGAACTAATCTCAAGGAACATTGGCTACAAAATATACCAAATTCTCTTGAATTTAGCCCCTCCAGGCTCTCCTTAGCAGGAAGACATTGTTCGGTTTTCTCATATTGAGGAGAAACTCCTGGGTGCCAGGGGCAGGCTACCTGGGTAACAGAGTCAGCTGATGAGGGAAACAAAGGCAGGAGAAATGTCACTTAAAGTCAATCTCCTCCAGCTGCAGCCCCTGACAGACACCTGACCCATGCGGAGTGTAACCTTCCTCAAGGACCTCATGGGTGCCTTAGTGCCCCCATGTGTGTGTTTTATTAAAGACTGAAGTAAGCTCTTCTTCACCAGCTAGGCCCTCGATTCCTGAAAGCCTGGCTTCCATAATCCTTAGAGACTTACACTATCCCTCACCTCCACTAATTTTAAAGTACATAATCAGTCACTGCTCACAATCCCTGTGAGCTTTCTGCCCATGGGTCCTGTCCCCGGGCTCTAGTAAAATCATCTTTTTTCAACATTCAGTGTCTCAAGAATTCCTCTTTGACTATTGGGCTACAAAATCCCATATCATGGTGACAGGTCAAGATAGAACCAGAGACAGGGAGTCCTCCTGTGTCTGACTGAGGATAGAGCCCTGTCCAGAGAGTTTGCATTCACTCCACTTACTGAGCACCTACCATGTTAGTCTAGGGATGTGGGCCATATGTGGACATGACAGGAAGGGTGTGCAGGCTCAGGGAGCTGACAGCGTGTGGGGGAAGAGAGAGGGCACAAGCTAAACATGTTGTCAGGGAAAGTTGTGTCTCAGGATAATGAGGAGGGGTGGGGTTGGGGGGTGGAGCCGGAGCATTAGAGGGGTGCACAGGGAACTCCAGAATCTTCTGTGTCATAATG